AATGTGGAGCCACTAAAATGCCTTCAGCAGGCCACGGGTTGAAGACCCCTAATGTATAGCATTGTGAATGTTTAAAAATGGAAGATGAGCATTTGAGTGATTTACGTGCACAGCGTCTCAACATTATTGATATTCTCTACTTATTACAATAGTTCAAAATTGCATCCATGTGCTTTATATATGTTTCTCAAAGAAGGTTGTTCTTAACCTCAAGCAATCTGCTATCAGGATATACGCTAACGAACTTAAAGGTTATGCTTATGATGTGACTACGCGCCATTAAGAAATTCCCTTGTCTCAGCGCTAGTTAGATGTTATGCCAGGTACTAAACTCACATTCATTCCACGCATTATGCCAAAAGTTTCCAATTCTAAACGAAGGTTCTTACACATGAATAATGAAAAATAATTTCTTTTCATAGGTCTGACACAATGACTGTTTGGTTTAGAATTTTTTGCTTAAATCAACTATTGAAAACCTGCAAGTATTAAAAATTAACTACACTCCGACAGGTAACTAACACAAAGTACTTCCTTAGAAATCAGAAAATTCACCTTGACTTAAATCTTTTTGCTGTTGTAAAAGAAGAATAAAATTGTAAGGACTTGTGTTTCTCTTGATTTGCTTTGGAAACATGATAACATGATGCGTCCTGAATAGGAACAAGGAGCTTACTCAAGCTATGCTCAAATATGTGTGGAATAGACAACACCAGCAGGAAGGGTTGACTTTACCCTTTATTCTCTATAAGATTACAGGTGCTTCCGCACTTCAGGATACAGAAACCAACCACTTGTGGTCTGAAAGTAAAAATATAAAACTACTAACAAAAATTTTAAATAAGGAGCTAACTTTGAATTAGTTCACAAATGCCTAACACTAAGACTGTCCTTTTAAAAAATTACGTATGTAGTACGCAAACTGCCGAAACTACAATACGTTTTAAATATCAAGAGGACTAAACCTCTGGCCTTAAAGGCAAGCAGCAGCTGATTGAAAATTCGCGTGTAATGCAGTGGCAAGGCGGCTCACTTCCTCCCTCTATCTCTCTCTTGGCAAAAAGCCACAACTGGCGTTAGCAATTACAATTTGCATAAACAAGTTCACGCATTTAATTCTGGCCGGCAGTGGAAAATAAGGAGTGATAGTAAAGTTTTAAAATAAAATAAACGTTAGTAAAACTTAAGATCCTTACATAATATGTAAAAAAGGACATTTTCTGTCTCTCTAAATTAAAATTGTATGCATTGCTATATTCAACTTTCATACTCTGTTTTCCTACTCCGTATCTACCATAGAAATTAACACACTAATGTGATGTTCTTGCATTGTTGATCAGTGTAGCTTAAAAAAAACCCCGCAGACAAAGAGTTCGTCGTTCCTGTTCTCGACAGGGTTTAGGACAGGAATTTGGAGCTATTTCCGAAGGGTTCTATCACAATTTAAAAGACAGCATAACTGTATCTCTTACGTATGAGAACGGCGTATACAGGTATGAAAAAAAAAGGATCCCCAAGGCGATACTTAGCATTCTGACCTGCCCACGTACCTAAATCCTCTGTATGGTTTTAGGAGTAGTTCGTACGTTTAACTTGTTTTTCAACAATCTTAAAATATTTTATAGAATTTGTTCTTTGAAACATATTTTTATTTTAATTTTTATACTATGCAGTATAATTCTAGTTAATCGATTTTAAACATATGGAATTTCAATTATCAGGGTCTCTTGTTCTTTGTTAGGCAAATAAAATTAAGCATGAATTTTTAATTTGCTTATTGGTTAAAATAACGTACATACAACATAACACATATTTTAAGAAGTTATCTAAATAACTTGGATGTATGACTTGTAGATTGGCCAAAGATGTTTGACAAATAGCTATCTTCTAAGTATTAATAGAAAAAGTATATTTTTATAGCTGCATAACCTCCAATAACCACAAGGCTCTTAGCTGGTTTTTGTGGTTTGCGGAAATTGTGTTATGCAGCTATAAAATTAACCAGTCTTCTGGTTAGTAGAAACTATTATTCCAGCCCCAGTGTGCGGATTTAAAATCTGCGCAAAGTTCTACTATTTGTGTGCCTTCTCTCCTATCTTGCAGGAGTAAAATCGTTTGGCCTTTGTGGAGCATTATAGACATCGATGTCGTAACGGCTAAATAATCGATGGATTTGGATACTTCTGGCAAATAAATTAAGTTGCATGATGTCCTTAATAATATATATATATGATGTCCGACAATTATTTTTTGAATTTTTATTTGCTGTGTTTTAGAACCTATACAAGTAAAAAATAATAATTTTTTTTTTTATATACAAAAAGAGGTTTAGTATTTACGCGTCTAAAAACCAATTTCACACTTTAATTTTGCCAAAAAAAATATGTGTTTAGTATTTTAGTTTAAGCACGTTTTATGTATTAAACTAAAAATAAATTTTGCGCTTTAATTTTGTAGAAAATGTTTAACTTGATACTGATATTTTGAGTTTTATTAATTTGTGATAAGCCATGAAACCTTGCTCTCATTAATTTTTCTCTCAATTCAGATCATGGTATTTGTATGCTTTTTTTCCATTTCTTTGCATTTCAGCAAATTTGATTCTTATATTTCGAAAACATTCACAATTCCTGTTTAACGTATATACTGGACTGTGAAAGGAGTAACTGCTTTCCGTTACTCGGGAAAGGGATTATTTCACGATATATACTGGGAACATATACCCTATATACAATATATACAGGGATCATATATCTATGTATAAATGATATATACTGGGAGCATATACCTATATACGATATATAATGAGAGCAGAGAGCATATACTTATATAGGATATATACTGGGAGCATATACTTATGTACGATATATAGTGGGAGAATATACTTATACACGATATATACTGGGAGCATATACCTATATACGATATATAATGAGAGTAGAGAGCATATACTTATATAGGATATATACTGGGAGCATATACTTATGTACGATATATAGTGGGAGAATATACTTATACACGATATATACTGGGAGCATATACATTGTAATTCCTTCAATTATTGTAACAATCTATAACTGGTATGATGAAAACCTCTGTATATGCGTTAATTTTATGGATGGACCCATAAATAAAATTAAATGTTTTGTAAATTAAAAAATAATACAATTTACTTTATTATTATTATTATTATTTCTATAAATAAATAAATGAAATTGTACATTAAATCCTTAATTTAATCCTTAATAATATATATATATATCATTTATTTCCTAAACAATATTCTTAACAATTTATTTCCCCAAATAATATATATATATATATATATGAAAAATATTTAACTATTTCAATTAAAGGCAAAATACGCTCATTGTTTTCACTTAAAATGAGGAAAGTATCAAAATAAACAAGATATTTCTTAGGCGAGTAAAGAAATCATTCGTTAAAACGTAATGCTGGGAATCTAACGTTTTATATCATTACAGTTAACTGTTAATGTAAAGTAACCGAGTGCAAATTTTATCTTCATTATTATCGTCACAGAAACAATTACCCTGCCCAATATACCCTTATTTTGGTCATCTTTTACCAAAAATACTTTTCTGGTATTCAATACAACGTGAAGGATGGAATGTACATTTTATTAGTTAAAGTGCAAAAGTGATCAATAATTGCGAAAATAAAAGAAGATATACAAGGTTATGTTAATGTTATACATTCATGCTTACGAATAGTGTGAAAAATGGTAGGTAATTAGCCAACATAAGTCGAATTCGTTAATTCAGATAACCGAAATTCACTAAAATAAATATCTTAAATTTATTAAGTTATACAAGTCAAACTGCAGTTGTTTATTAACTTATTTTCAGCAAATGATTCGAATTTATTTATTTTGAGGAAAATTTATTTTTATTTATTTATTTATTTAATCATACATTTTTTTCTTAAAGGAAATACGAATGAAAATATTTTAGAGATGCAAATCTATACGTATCTATCATTATTCTTTATGAGGTAGGCCCACCAGCGGCCGAGCGGTAAAGTCGCTGAACACTGGTATTTCGGTCCGAGGTTCGAATCCCGCGAACGGGCTGGCTGCATGAGTGTTTTCGTGGTTTTCCTCATGTGTAAAGTGTATACGAGCCAGTTTCCCTTAGAAAGTCCTCCGCGAAGGCTTCTCTCCTCTTAGGCAGATAGCCCTCGAGGCTTTGCCGTAATTAAATAACCTAACCTAACCTTTATGAGGTAGAGAAAAAATGCAACTGAATGTTGGACTAGAGACACTACAACGTTATTTATGTATTAAAAACAGCCAAAATCGTTGTTAAGATATATTATCTTTAGCAAATTTACGGCATATGTAAAATTTTAAAACTAAAATAGTATTACTCACCTCAAATACAATAAAACTTACACGACACAGTTATCCAGGATTTATTTACAAATACATATTTGTAAAGAATTTACAGTTTAAGAAATAAACCAAATTGTAAAAGCGCTTCATAACAAACTATTAAATGTAATGCACGAAAACTTATAAAACTCTTTTTGATATCAGTCAAAAGACAACTTGTGTGACATTTTCAATGCGATTTTTTTTACCAATTGTTCTGTATGAAAATGACGATAAACAAATTACACAAATTACACGATAAACAATTACGTAATCAAATATTTGACAGAACATCTTACAGTAATTGTATAATAAAAAAGAAAAACGATATAGTATATACTTTGCATATTGCAGGAGAATATCTAAAAGGATGCAGTAAGGATAACATGACTCGAGCCCCATCTACGTCCTTAAGATATTTTTATCATATTTGAGAAAACGATTGTTATAAAATATTTTTATACTCCATGCATTAAAAAAGTAAACAAATAACCTAAGAACAAATTTTCACGTTATTATCACATTTTAGAATAATAGTTTATCTCATTACTTAATCGGAACAACATGGAAGAAGGCAATGAAACAAAAAATTTGTAAACAAACTCACCCTAAAAAATCTGGAACAGTGAAGGTGCGTGAAGATGTAGAAGCAATACGAGTTTTATCACTTTAAGTATTCTTTCATTCACTTTCGAACTGCAGCAGGAAGCAAACGAATCACGGAAGCGTTGTTTTTTAATCGTGAGATAGAACTTCGGAGCTTATGATCATTCCTCTCGCAAAACACTGCGAGTGTGCGTATGTATGCGAGTATGCTCGAAGGTCTCGATTAAAGCGACGAGAGTAGGCAGAAATAGCGGTTTTCGCTGGGGGCATACCAGATTCTTGGCGATCTCTGCCCCCCTTTCGCGACCCCTCCCACGGTTTCTCGCAGACTGGACTGGCCCAGGCAATGCACCTTTCGAGCCAAACATTTACCAAATGCGTTCGAGAAAACTTTCTCAGAAAAATACTATGGATGAAAAACTTTTTAACTTTTGGATAGAACTTAGCTGTAAAAAAATTATTGCTTTTCTTCAATGTATTTAAAATAAAAGTATTGACAAAAATTATTAAATATAAAAAATTAATATAAAAATAATTATCAATTATTACTTCAAACATAAAAAGATTGTTAATTATTATTACTGATATAAAATAATTATTAGATATTATAATTAGCATAAGTCTAATTATCAGTTATTATTGTTATAAGTATAATTATCATGTGTAAATAAAATAAAATATCAATTATTAGACCTAATGCTTTACAAGTATCAAATATCATTGGTAATACTCGTTTTAAAATTTCGTTTGCATCTAAATTAATTTTTTTTAATATTCGATATAATATTATATATTATCTGTAAGGTAACATAATTAATTTGTGATAATATTTTTTTTAATGAGAAAGATTTACAAGATGTTTCACCATTTAAATGAAACTGCATACATGAAACTCACAGAAATTATGATTTAATTAAACGCTTTGAGTTAATGTTTAAGTTAATGAAATTTAGTTTCAAACCAATGAAATCGTAAAAATATTTTATAAGCTGTTTGAATAATTTTTATTACACTAAAAATGGAATATTACATTTTATCTATGGATATACATACACTTTCTGTGATTTTATTAAATTGTTAAAATTAATAGTTTTTTTATAATGTGTTTTAGTAGTGTTAACCTTACAGTTTAGCACGACTAATTCACTGAAGAATTAATGGAAAAATTGTGTAAATTAGCTAAGAATTTAACATTATAAGACAAAAGAATATTCAAATTTATTTTTAACTTAAATAGTAATAGAATAATACTAACTATTGCGAAAATTTCAAAGTTTTGTGAACCGTAACCAAAAAGTTTTGGGGAAAAAAAGGTGTTAGTTGTTCGTAAGATTAAGAAATTGAAAAGCTATTTAATAGTCTTTCCAAAAATAAGAACATAATAATTTATTTCATTGCAATAAAGGATGATAATAACATTAATTTTTAATGCACAATTAAAATGTAAAAATTTCTGAATGTTTCCTAAATGCATTGACAGCAAAATATAGCGCTATTTTTCATAAATGTAATAAAACTAAAAATATATATATTTTTTGCTCATTAATTAATGGTGTAAGAGTTCAATTAATTTTTGTAATCAATTGTTTAGAATCCGTAATTAATTTTTGCGCTTTTAGATAATTAAAAAAGGTGTTTATATCTGATAAAATAAATACTTATTTGAAACTTAGTTTACAAATTTTAGTTTTCACATTTTGTTAAAATAATAGAACAAGGTGAAAATACTCATTTCTACAAAGCAAATTCTCATTAATAAATTACATATGAGTGACATAATTAAGTTAATTATTTCTCATACAATTAAAGCTTGGTAATCATAATTGCTTTGACATTAAGTTCTAAGCAAAGTCTTTCCAAAGATTTTGGACCGTTATATTACGCTACCATCCATATAATCCAGTATCCTTGACAAGTGTTGCCACTGCGTGAAACTTAGAGACTTTCACATATCTTCCATTTAGGTACACTTCGTCGAGTATTGTCATTTGAACAATTAGTCGCGTATTGCCATTTGAACAATTAGCACTCGTTGTTGAATGAACACTCAGCACTTGTTGTCGAGTGTTGCTATTCTGAACACTTAACATTGTGCACTCTATACCAGAATAATATTTTATTAATTATTCTTCTGTTATAGAGTGCATCATCATTTAATTCATAAAAAAGGTCTACCACATATTACGTCTTTGATCCTGAATCAATTAATATTATCATCTACTTTTCCCTTTAGTTCTGATGAAAGGAAAGTAATCATTTTTCCATAAAAAGCTATCCCTTTAATCAAAATTGCCCAAAAATTCGATAATTAGTAGCAAAACATGTCGACAAAAAATTTAATCAAAACATGTAAGGTATTTAATAATGCATCTAAATATCTAAATTATAAGTAAATTCGAAAATAGTCTGAAAGCAAGAGTGTGAGAGTTTTAACTTAACGCTCTAAAGTCATCTAATTGAATAAACTTTCAAATGAAATAACATGATATCTAGCATATATAGAATGAACTTAACAATCTATAAATTTAAAGAGCAGTAACTCTGTTTGCTTAAGAACTAATCGATCCTTACCTTGACTACTGATAACAAATATTTATTAATCAAAAGTTGCTTAATTTTTAATGTAATATCTTTAATAAAATAAAGAATCTTTATAAATTAAAGTAACAGTGCGATATTTTGATGTGCATGGGATTAAAACGTGGGAACACAAAATCAGAAAATTTTATATGTTAAATCTGGAATCAAAATATAAGAATATACATATGACAAAATTAAACAAAATGTATTTAAAATTTTTATCTTTTTTCATAAATTTTAAGTTTTTTAACCTGATGTCATTCATTTCATACTGTTGTATTCTATTGGTTCGGGGATTTCGAGTAACTGATGACAAAACTTGATGAACAATCGAAACCCAATTTATTCGACAATATGATACAGGAGAGTTCCAAAGATACGTTTACAGTCGTCCAGAAACTACGATACACAGGTTGAAGCAATCAGCAACACAACCATTAGGCTGTAAAGGTGAAAACAGTTTCACAACAAAGCCCTAAAGTACAGCCTCTGACTCGGCCAATCACTCCCAAGCTAATCTCCCTCAACTCCAGATGTTACTATACTTCTGTTCTCTGGGCAGGGTATATTTAGCTTTAACCAACCTTCGAGACTACTTCCAAAAATCCGCTAAAATTCGTTCTAGAATGTTCTCGCTCCCTCTATGACATGTCACCAATTTCTTCGCCACATATCGTCAAATGGGCGAAATGTGGTAACCCTGTCTTTTCTTGTCACTTTATGGCAACCATAACCCCGCTTGGTGGGGAAACTATCTGACCGCAGCTGACCATTTCGGTTACATGAATAAAATTTGAATCGGTTACATGAATAAAATTTGATATTTGAGTTTTATGTTTTAAAAGCGTTAAAAATTATCGTTTTCCAAGCAACAGAAACCAAGAAGCTTAGAATAAATATTAAAAACCTATTTTGAAATATTTATTCTAAGCCGAATAATACGCAAAATATTTCATTAGTCTTCATTCTAGAATCTAAAATTTATTCTGAAAATTGTTAAGATTCCGTTGAAATGATTTTTCAGGCAAGCTAAAAAGGTTCTTTTTCTGATAATGAGGATGTTTCAAATTTTCTTTGATTCTAACATATTCAAAAGATTTGTTGAATGACAAAGAATATGATGTAATTATATGATGTTTCAAATATATATGAAATGATATAATTATTGAAATTTATTCTAGTTTTATAAAAGTTTAGAGTTTTTTGATAAATACGTAGATTTTTTTAATCTTTGACTTAAATAATAGCAAATTTAAATTAAGCATCCTAAAAAGCTTGATATTAGCGTTATGTAAATGCTAAAATTTCTGAAATATATATTAGATAATGATTTAACGTCTGCGGTGCGGTGTCATCAAATTTTATTTTCAAGGCAAGACTACTAATTACTTTACGCTTCAAATTTGTTAATATTTAGTGCTGATGTTTTTCATATGTTATATTTCCTTTATTTATTCATGTTTAGGTATGCAGTTAAGTATTAGTGCACAGTTTCGCTTCTTCCGATCTCATGATAATATATATGAAAATAATACTTCTCTTTATTTTGGAGTCTAATTAAGTATTTTCAGCACTTTTTATAAACATTTTAAGTTTCAATGCCGGTTTTATTTTCCATTTTTTTACAACTGGTCGGTTCACATATTACCTAAACAAAAACAATCGTGAAAAAATGAGATTGCCCACGGTTTGTGAATGCAGATAGAATATGTGAGGAAACAATGCACTTCCCACGTTTCGTTCTGTTTTCTTATTCGTCCTATAATGTGTGTTGAAAGAAAATCCCAAAACTATTTGTCTGTTTCCTGCATTGTTCATTACTGCCTCATTTGATCGAGATTCTTCAAGGGAAGAAAATATCAAATAATGAATTTGTAAACTGCAGCTGGATCGAGCCTGCAGCAGGAAGTCAAAGCCCTTTTTGCAGAAACACTCTTACTGGTGCATATCCTCTTCTTTCCGAATATTATAAATTAAGAGCCATAATCTCTCACCCATTTTGACGCTGAAGGAATGCCATTTGCAATATAGTATAAATTCTTGTATCTTATCATTCTTTAACAACTGCATTTAAAAATGTTTTACTTTAAATTTTTTTGATAGAATATCAAACATTTTCAATTAACTGTAATTTGCTTTTAGTGCAAGAAAATGGTAATTGAAAATTTAACTGCTCCTCATTCACAAGAAGTCAAATTTCTGGATTTATTTCAATTATGTATAATTAACGTATCCTGGTTTAATTACTACATTTAAAGGCATATTACTGTGCCTCAGGCTCTGAATTTTAGACGATCTTTTCAGATTTCATATATTTTTACCTTGAAATGGTTTGCAAATATTCAGTAATATCTAAATATCAAAATTTACTTTGTCGTTTTATATTTTTGCTTAGTCTCTAGATTAGTTTTCAGTTTTAAATACAACTTTCATTACCATTTTTCAATGGGCAGACACGTGCTCGTTAATCATCCTTCTTGAGCCCTGTCGGTCATTTAACCATTTAATCAACAATACCATTGCTGGGCTGCACAATGGAGAGGATCTTCCCCCTCCTCTCTAATGCAATATTGATGTTCGATATTGCAATAGAGAGGAAGGGGGAGAGGGAAAAGCATTATAAAAA